GTGAAAAGAGAATCTAAAATAAAACAAGAGATAGTGCTAGAAGATAAGACTTGCAGGTTGGAAAGCACAAACAGCTGCTGGGGAAGAGGATAAGTACAGATATCGCTGTTGTTAATAAAGCAAATGCATTTAAAGCCACAACAAGATCTATTTGCTGATTTGTATACGTACAAAAGGAAAGTCCAGTGCTTCATGATACTTATAATTAGGACATAGGATGTGAGAAATATGAAACAAGGTGAACTTGAAATCATAAAACTAGATGTGAATATTTTGAGATGAATGAACTAAAGTGGACTGGAATAGAACAGAATATTTTAATCAGATAATTACCAAAAAACCCACACTGTTGGAGAACGGAGTTAGAAATGGAGAAGGAGACTGACTTCTAGGATTCCATGATGTCAACAATTTGTTGCAAATATTTGTTTAGGCAACCTAACAGACAATCATACATGTAGACATCACTGGATGACCAATATTGAAATCAAACAAGTTATATTTTATTTTATTTTATTTTATATTTATTTATTTTACTTATATGCCGATCACACTACCCGAAGGTCTAGTAGATGTTCGAGAAGCCTTGTTCTCTGCTAGAAGGGGACTGTGGTAGAGACAATGAGCAATTCATGTCAACAGTTAAAATAAAGCTGAGAAAGAATAGTAAATAATAATAGTGATAAACTGTACAGAAGAGAAACAAGGATGACTTATTCCTTTTGATCCTTTCACTAATCTTTTCATGAAGACCCTGCAACTTAAGACAGTGAAGTAAAAGTAGCTCTCAAGGACATGTGCAAAAAATAAATCATCAGGAACATACTGATAAAGCTATTTTAGGCAGTAGAGACTGGATCTATCAAAATCCTAAGAATATGTGAACAAATATGGAGGATTCCAAAGAAAGGAGACACCAGAGATTGGAGTAACTATAGCACAGTTGCATTTCCAATGCAAGCAAACAACAAATACTTCTATCATATGTGAAGTGAGAAATGCTAGATATTCAAACTGGATTCAGAAAAGGAATACTAGAGATCATAATACAAATATTTGTCAATACTGGAGCATACCGAAGAATTTGGGGGGGGGGACAGTCTATGCATTACAGATTAAGCAAAGCCTTGCTTTGAGTGGATCATGTAAAGCTATGAATTCTAAAAGGAACAGGTCTTTTCATTTCTGAATTCAGGCTAATTAACCAGTGTTTTAAAAGTAGAAGCCCCAGTGATGGAGGGGAAAACATACAGATTGGAGGGGGACTCCAGTCTGATTCGTATTTACATTTGTATCATGAGGTCAATAGGAAAGAATGGAAAATCAGTCCACCCTAAACCCATAGTATTTTCCAGAACTTTTATCAATGTGGCTACCCTCTGGCACTAAGCCGGTCTTTCCCCTGGGCAAAGTGAAACAGCTATCTCAGGGAACACATTTTGGATGTTACAAAAAATACAAAATTCTTGGTGACCTAATTTATGACTGGAAACCAGGAGTCTTATAGCACCTTTAAAGCTAACTAGTTTTTAAAAATTTGTAAGTTTTATGTAACCAAGTACGTACTCAGAATCTGTGCTCATCTGAAGAACTGTGCCTGGGCACATGAAAGCTTATGAAAAATTTAAAAACTAGTTACTTTTAAAGGTTCTGTAATACTCCTGGTTTCTCTTGTGCTACCATAGACTAACATGGCTGCTGGCTAGATATCTGATTTATTACTGTTTTATATTTGTTCTCAAGCTAGCACATATGGAGGGTTTTCCTCCGCCCCAAGAAGAATTAATATAAGGCCATACTGAAGCCTTCTATAACTGAGCAGTGCTTGAATGATGCTCTAGAATCTATCCTCCCCTAGTAGGCTTCACATTGTCATTATATTCATTTTAAAATTAACTTTCTAAACTCTGTCAGGTACTTGTGGGATGTTCTTTTTTGGGTGACAAAATACCTTAAGTAGCTTCCGGTACTGTGTACCTTGTCTTGGTGTGATATAATCATGGAGAGAATCATTACGTATTGTTTGTCATGTCATAAATTGTCGTGGGTCAGTCTTCCCCCCATTATATAGAAGTGAAATCATCTGGGAAGATAATGGCCAAAAGCAATAGAAAGCTGATGAGTGTTTTTTCTTCATTCTTCCATACCTTCTGTTTCATGTACTGTACAGTCATATGAAAAAGTACATCCTTTAAGAATACAAAGTACATCCTCTTTGAATTATGTGGCTTTACATATCAGCACATAATAAAAATCAGCTGGTCCTTAGCAGGTCTGAAAATTAGGTAATGGTTTTACATATCAGTACATAATAAATTAGGTCTGAAAATTAGGCAAATACAGCATCAGATGAACAACAACATATGCTGTATTATACTGTGTCATTATTTCTTTAACTTTCTTTAACAAAAATAAAGCCAAAATGGAGAAGCAATGTGTGAAAAACTAAATACACTCTTATTGTTTCATAAGAATTAAAAGGCTATGTAGCAGCCAGGAGCTGCTAACCAAATGCCCTTGAGTAATTGATCATCAGCAAATGTGACCACCTCTATAAAAGCCAAAGTTTTAGCAGTTCGCTGGTCTGGAGCATTCAGGTGTGTGTTAACACAATGCCAAGGAAGAAACACATCAGCAGTGACCATAGAGAAGCAATTGTTGCTGCCTATCAGTCTGGGAAGGCCATTTAAAGTCCAGCACTCTACAGTGAGGAAGATTATTCACAAGTGGAAAACATTCAAGACAGTTGCCAATTGTCCCAGGAGTGGACATCCAAGCAAATTTATCCCAAGGTCAGATCGTGTAATGCTCAGAGAAATTGCAAAAAACCCAAGAATTACATCCGAGAGTCTACAGGCCTCAATTAGCCTGTTAAATGTTAAAATTCATGACAGTACAATTAGAAAAAGACTGAACAAGTATGGTTTGTTTGAAAGGGTTGCCAGGAGAAAGCATTCTCTCTTTAAAAAAAAATCATGGCACCATGGTTTAGGTTTGCAAAGTTGCATCTAGACAAACCATACGACTTCTGGAACAATGTCCTTTGGACAGACAAGACCAAAGTGGAGATGTTTGACCATAATGCACAGTGCCACATTTGGTGAAAACCAAACAACATATCAACACCAACACCTCATACTGATGGAGGGGAGGGGTGATGACATCTGTCTGACAAGTTTGGCTGAAATTGAGTCATGCGACAGGACAATGATCCCAAGCACACCAATAGAATGTGTAAAATTCTATAGAATGGCTGAAAAAGAAAAAAAAATCAAGGTATTGCAATGGCACAGTCAAAGTCCAGACCTCAAACTGATTTAAACGCTGTGGCAGGACCTTCAGAAAGCTAAACTTCAGAAAGTAACTAAAGTAATGCTGTAAAGAAGAGTGGGATAAAATTCCTCCACAACAATGTAAGAGACTGATAAAGACTGATACAAAAAAAATTATTTCAAGTTATTGCTGCTAAAGTTTGTTCTACAAGCTATTGAATCGCAATATGTACTTAATTTTTCACACATGGCTTCTCCAATTTGGCTTTATTTTTGTTAAATAAATCATGACACAGTGTAATATGTTATATCTTGTTGTTCATCTGATGCTGTATTTACCTAATTTTCAGACCTGCTAAGGGCCAGATGATTTTTATTATGTCCTGATACATAAAAACATAAAATTCAAAGAGGGTGTACTATATATTGTAAATATCTATCTATAGCTAGCTAGCTGCCCATCTGTCTAGACCAGTAGTTCCTAACCTTGGATCCCCAGATGTTCTAGGACTACAACTCCCAGAAATCCTGGCCAGCATAGCTTGTGGTGAAGGCTTCTGGGAGTTTTAGTCCAAGAATATCTGAGGACCCAAAGCTGTTGAAACACTGTTCTTGACAGAATGCCTTGTCTTTTTATACATGTTAAGGGGGGGCAGACAGACCCATTACTAAAAGACCTGGATCAGTGAGTTGGCACCTGTCAATGGAAACAGAGTTTGGGAGCTAGATTCCCCATTGTGCCTCCTGGAAGAAGAGCCAGCCTGTGTAGCCTTGGGCAATCTGCATCGTCCCAGAAGTGCCCCCAGAAGGGAATAGGAAACCTCTTCTGAATATTCTTTACTTAAAAAACAACAACAATAACCCAGAAACAGTTGGCATAAATTGAGATCAATTTTTTTTAAATTGCCTTGCCATGCCTAGTTCAGTCCTCTAGGGTGTGTGGAGGATCAGTTCCCATACAAAACTCTTAAGCACACGGAACTGCAAGAAAGCAAACTGTAACCAACCAATAAAACTGTAACTGCAGTCCTATGAAGATGCTTTGCTCTGAATTTGTTGAACTTGCCTGGTAATTGTTTCCTCTACTCAGGAGCTCAGGTAGAAAAGTGAAGGTTTTCTGCCCACAGAACATATGGCTCAAGTAATGTGAGCATCTCCTTATTACTTCTTGAGTAATAAGTAATAGGTAGCAGCAAATTACTTACCGGTAGGCTTTAATGAATGAGTCCTAGTGATTTGTAAACGTTACTTTTGAATAGACTGTTAAGACATATTTCAACAGAATTTTTAAAATCTTATTCATTCTCTTGTCAATCATAACTTGGAAGGGAATTCTTCTTTGTTTTAACAATTTTTATAAATATTTCCATAATGCAATATCAGAATTAGCTATTATAGGGAACAATAAAGCACTTCTCAGTTGTTTTCTGGTCTGTTGGTGAAGATAATACATGTTAATAATGCACAATACAGTAAATTAGTGGGTAAAGTGATTTGTATCTTTTATAAATGTAGTGTTCTGAGCTCTTTTTTAATGTATATGTATATGTTCCAAGCTCTGGCTATACCTTTGGTCCCCGCCCTGCACAAAGGCAGCAGGGTATATGTGTGAAGCACAGGGAGTCTCCATATTACCTGTGTTTCAGACAAAGGTGGTCCAAGAAATTTTGATGCAGTAAGCAAAGCAGAAAATGGTAATAACTCACTCCCTCTATATCCTATCCCTAGTTCAAGATGCAGAATATTGAAACCTAAGGAATTTATTTTGGCACCTGTGGAAGAAAATCCTACAATTGCCACTGCTTTCCTTGTGACACTGAAAAAGCAGTAAGTATATAACTAATTATCTGCTGCTTTTTTTGGCTCTTTCACTGTGTAGGTGGGTGTGTTGTTGTTGTTGTTGTTGTTGTTGTTGTTGTTATGTATAGCGAATGTCCCACTCTTTGATAGTGTTTCATTGGATGGTTCTTCATCTGAATGTCTGCCTTCCTGACCAGTGCGTTGGTTTGAGACTTAATGGGTCAAGATCAGCTCGCTCCCTGCACATGCCATTTCTGAACAGGGTATCTAAAGATGGGTGAAGGTCATTGGGCTGCAGAGGGTGGCTTGGACCCTAATATGTCCCTTCCCAACACCCTTTGCCTTGTCTTCTCTGTTTCTGTTGCTGCTGGGTTCAGCAGCAAGGTGGGACTCTATGAGCAAAATTCTTTTGATCCGTGTATTAAGTCACAACAAAGCAGGCCCAACTCCTCCGTAAGTTCTATTGATTCCAATTAGACTACCCTGTCCCTGTGCTAAATTAAGTCACTGTTAGAGTAGACTGATTTCAGTCATTGGAACTTATGGAGGATTTGATTCACTAAATTCCCCTTTTATTCAGTGGGCCTACTCTAGTGCAATTTACTGCACTAAGCAACAAGATTGTGGCTACTGTTTGGATAGGTTTATCTTAATGCATTTCATTCTGTATACATACTCAAACATTCTATGCACTTCAGTATATAATCAGAAATATCATGTCAGATTTTAGAGGGGTAGAAAATATGGTTGTCAATGCTTTCCCTCACTGGAATTTGAAGTGGTTTGCTTACCCGCTGAAATCACTGTAATTTTTAGGTATACCAGACAATGCAGGCCTATAGTGAAAAGCATTTTTGCTAAGGCATACCAATTATTCCCCAAAATCAATCAGATCTACTTGTGATTTTTTATTATTTCGTTTAAGCAATTTAATTTTATATTTGCTCAAAATTCATATGATAAAACATGTGCTCTTCAAAAGCTGTTCAATTAAATATCTACTCCAGGATTTTTTTTTTCAGAGACAACAGTTGCCAGCATTAACAGTAGCTTGATCTATTGATATGATCAGTTTTAATAGTAGTGCTATGCTATTCATCACAAAAAGCTTATTGTGCTGATTTGCAACATTCAACTTGTTATTAAAGGCACAAGAGCAAGTCAGGCTTTCTCTTTGGCTTATTTGGCAACTCTACCTAAAAGTCTTTGTAGTTCATATACTCATACACTATGACACTGACTGGGTAATGTATGAGTATGTTTTGCTGCTGCTGTTGCTTTCCAGGGAAGTGCTGGTTTACTCTTCTGTAGCAGTTTGGTTTGGGATGCTCTAATCATCATCATCTTAGAACTGTAGAATTGGAAGGGACCCCAAGGATCATTGAGTCCAGCCCGTCAAGGAGGCACAGTGGGGGAATTGAACTCCCAACCTCTGATTCTGCAGCCAGATGCCTAAACCACTGAACTATCCAGTTCTGAGAAGAAAGGCTTTTTGGGTTTCCCACCCTATGCCAAGGGGCACACAGCAGGTTATAATATGTGAATTTACCATCAACAGCTCTGTAGAACAGATTAAGGTGAGACTTGGAGATTTGCCAGGGCCACCCAGTAAGCTTCAGTGTAAAAGCTGGAAACACCCATTACATGAAAATAGGTGTAAAATATCCATATGTTTTGAAGGAGGAAAAGCAAATGGGGGGAGGGGAGAGAAGGGCCCCCAAGGCTCTGATTGTATCTGCCAGGGAAGCGTTCATCTAGAACCCTTCTGGGGAAGCACAACTGGAGAGAGCTGCAGAAGAAAAGTGGTGGTAGATCAAGGGTTAAACCACCTCCTCTCCTCTGTTATGCTTGCATATCACCCAACCATGATTTCCCTTTCCTCTTTCCCTCACACCAGGCAGAAGACAGTAATCTGGAGCTGGGAAAGAATGGGGGAAATGCACGTGCGTTAGTTGCCAGGTATGGGGAAGGGTACTTAGATGCGCAGTTGCTCTTTCCAGCAGCAGTCATGAGTTGATGGTTACACCTAGCCCCTGTTTCACAGGTGGGACATTCTCTACGCTTTATAAAGTCTATGCTTTATAGGCTACAGCAAAGCCTTTGTGCTGATCGTGAGAAACTATGGGCTGTTCTGAAAGAAATGGGTGAGCCTTAGCACTTGATTTTCCTGATGCAAAACATGTATTGTGGACAAGAAGTTAGCATTAGGACAAAAGAAGGAGGGACAGAACTATTGCCTCTAGGCAAAGGTGTCAGACAAGGATGTGCTTTATCCCTTTTTCTGTCCAATCTGTATATCAGGTAGAAAGCCACACTAGATTCAGATGAAAAAAAATGTGAATTGGTGGAAGAATGTAAGATATGCAGATGATACCATCTTACTGGCAGAAAGCAGATGATTTATAGTGAAAGCAAAAGAAGAAAGTACCAAAACAGGACTGCAGTTGAACATTAAGAAGACAAAAACCAAGACTACAGAAGAACTACACAACTTTAATTTTGAAAATTAAGTAATTGAAATAGTTAGGGATTTTATATGCCTCAGTTCAGCCATCATTCTGAAGCGGAAATGCAGCAAGAAATCAGAAAAAGACTGGAACTAGGAAGGGTAGCAATGAAGGAAATTGAAAAGATAATAAAGTGTAAGAATGTATTACTGGAGACAAAGACCAAGATTGTCCACATTCTTGCATACCCAGTCACCATGTGTGGTTGTGAAAGCTGGACACTAAAGAAATCTGATAGGAAAAATATTGATTCGTTTGAAATATGCGATTGGAGGAGAGTTTGCAGATACCCTGAACTGCCAGAATGACGAACGGGTGGGTTCTAGATCAAACCAAGCCAGAACTATCTCTGTCTCTGGAGATAAAATGTTGACACTGAGGCACATAATGAGAAGGTAGGATTTTCTGGAAAAGACAATAATGCTGGGAAAGGTGGAAGGCAGCAGAAAAAGAGGAAGACCAAATATGAAATGAATTGACTCACTAAAAGAAGTCATAGGCTTGAGTTTACAAGAGCTGAAAAGGGTACAGGACATTTTGGAGATCATGCATTCCTGGGGTCACCATAAGTCAGAGACAACTTGACAGTATATAACAACCACCATAACATTGTGCTGCTTAGAGATAACTAGCATTTCCAAATAGGCGGAACAAGTTCAGTGTGTACAGCAGGGGTAGGTATTGGGCACCTCTCTTTCCTAGTCTTGGACTGCAACTCTCACTATCTCTAGCCAGCATTGCCAGTAGTGAGGAATCGTGAGATCTATAGTCAGGTAATATCCAGAGAGCCACCTGTTCCCCATCCTTGCTGTAGAAAATGCTGCAGGATCGCTTCAAACCCTGAATATACAGTGGAATCTTGACTTGAGAACTTAATCCGTATTGGAAGGCGGTTCTCAAGTCAAAAGTCTGTAAGTCAAGTCTCCATTGACCTACAGTGCATTGAAAACCGATTAATCCCGTAACAGGCCGTTTTTGTTCCATTTTGGTTTTTTTCTGGTCTGTAAGTCAAATCTCAGTCTGCAAGTCAAACCTAAATTTTGCGGCCAGAGAAGTCTGTAACTCAAAAAGTCTGTAAGTCAAGCCATCTGTAAGTCAAGGGTCCACTGTACAGTAGATTATTCATCATCTTTTGAAATGCTTCCTATTTGTCCCGCAAAAAGCAAACAGGCCTAGTAAAGGGGGCTCTGATTCCTTTCTGGATATTAAAAAAGAAACTCTTGATAATTTGTAGAAACAAAACAGTGCCATTCTGGCAGACCAGTCACTATCCTTGCTTGCCAGGGTGCCCATAACCAGGCTAGCGTGGAACAGAGAAAATTCTTGCTTACTTTTCATGTTACCTTTCAGTCTTATACTACTGAGGCACAGTTCCACCTTTACAAAATCCACACATTAATCAGAGCTTGATGTATAAAGGATTCAAGTGCCTATCAAATGATAGGGATGCCTAGGGGAACATATTCTCTTGATCCCTTCCTTCCAGGCGCAGGCAGCTTGTGATTGCGTTCTCCAGATTTTGGGGTGAAACATCTCCTATTTTGTTCCACAAACCATTCCTGCTGTGAGATCTGTTAAGTGTTCCAATTGCCATCCCTTTTTAAATGCATGGTATATTGGTTGCTCCCCTTCTTGGATGCACCTCTTAATGTGGTGAAGGGGTTTGGATGTGTCAGTGAAGCTGACAGCAACGGAGTCAGGAGGCCAGACTCCATTACCAGCCTGGACTCTTAGCAGGGTCACCCAAGGCAGAACAGTCAAACCAGACTAAGATGCCTTTACCTTCTTCAGAATCAACATAAGCAGAAGAGAACTGATATTTCCTGGACTCCCAGGAAGATGAACAAGTGAGCCCTAGAGCAAATCAAACCTGAACTATCTCTGGAAACAAACATGTAACTGAGGCTGTCCTACTTTGGGCACATCATGAGAAGGCAGGATTCTCTGGAAAATAATAAATGCCGAGAAAGGTTGAATGCAGCAGGAAAAGAGGAACAGATGGACTGACTCCCTAAAGGAAGCCACAGGCTTTAGTTTTACAAGGGCAGGTCTCTTGGCAACAAGACATGTTGGAGATCTCTCATTCATAGTGTTGCCCTGAGCCGGGGATGACTTGACGGTACTTCACAACAACAACATACTGGTTGCTAGACATGCAGATAGGTCTGAGGAGAGAATGATCACTGGCTAGTTGCCAACAGCTAGAGGAAAAAAAAAGTTATATTCTCCTGTACCTTAACAGGGGAGGAGTCCTGGAGACTGAGATCCCTCTGAGGTGAAGATTTTTTGCTGCACTGTCTCCTTTACAGTATACCCATTGCAGTTTTCCTGCCCTACCTTTGGCTTAAATCCCTTTAGCTGTGCAGCAGAAGTGCAGGGATTTACAGAGCAGAGTTTCTCAAAGGAGGAAAAAAAAAGTTATATTCTCCTGTACCTTAACAGGGGAGGAGTCCTGGAGACTGAGATCCCTCTGAGGTGAAGATTTTTTGCTGCACTGTCTCCTTTACAGTATACTCATTG